AAAACAGAGGCAAGAATATACTGAATTGAGTTGGAGGTGCCGATAAGTCTGTGACATATTTGCTGTCAATTGGGGGTTTGCGGGATGGAAAACTCTTTTATAAAATGCCAAATAATAAGTTTCTCGGTTTTCTAATAAAACTTAATAAAAATCCATATAAATACAAATTTACCTCGTCAGACAAGTACAAATACGATATGTTGGACATGAATGGGCGTCTCTAGAATTGAAAAATTTACAGACGGGACGAGTAAACAACTTATAAAATGATCATTAGTTCATTGGAAATAGTGACATATTAACATGACCTACATACATGTACGCCCGTGAACAAAGATGTTAGTGAACGCACGCAGTGTGCTAGAGGAAAATAAATGAGTTTTCCAACCATCTGAGACATTCTTCAAACAAAATGCTCTCACCATGATTTAGATATTATAGATGAATAAGGTAACGCCATCAGCATTATGAGGCAGCGACTGTGAGACGGGGCAGAGCCCTTCAGAATGTTACAATCCCCCACATTTGGGCAGCCGCCTACTTGAAAAGAACATTTCACCCAGAATGTTAGTTCTGAAATGCATACTAGGCGGTGTCACACAGAAAAATCCCTTAAAAATCCCTTGAAAAATCCTTTCAAGGGAGAATTTTCTTGCTTCGTTAGAGGATTTTTGAAGGGATAATATTGATGACAGACAGCAATTAAGAGGATAACTAAATCCGGATTTTTGGCCTCTGTGTGACACCGCCTATAGACAATAATAGATATACAACGGCAGAAAGGGGGGGGGGGGAGAGAGAAGGGTTTTAACAAAACCACATGACACAGCTATCTGCATTATTAAAGTAGAAATTGAAAGAAAACAATCCAAAGAGCAGTCTTTACTGCTTTATTTTTTTGTTTTGCGTTATTTCAGTCTTCTCTATACAGGCAGGCTCTGAGTTTAAAATATTGCTCTTCAAATCTTTAATCAACTTCATAGACATGTATTTAGCAATTAGAAAATGATGATAATGAAGAATGGGATAGAGGGAAATAAGGAGGAGAGTTCGAGAGAGAGGGTTTCACACAACCAGAGAGAGCTCATATTATTTGTCCTTGTTTCATTTGGCCGGGTTTTTTTTTTCTTCATCTTTTCAATTTCAAGTCGGACATATAGTCAACAGGCTTGTTCTGATTGCACCTAAACTAACCAGCAAAGCACGGAGAGGAACTGGGACAGGATATTGAAGAAGCGTTGGTCACTGGTCAAAAATTAATTTAATCTCTCCTCCCGTTTCCCGAGGTTGACCCGCTCCATCCAGTGAAGCACCTAGGATCATTGACCGTCTGGTAATATATACACAATCATGACTTGCTTCGTTCTATAGCTACTACACGCAGAGGCACATGTAGGGGTGTCGCTAATCCGTATTTTTTGTCCTGTTTACTTTTTTTTTAAATTGCAGCCACAATCGACTGAAATGACTTTGGAAAAATCTTCAGTCACTAGCAGACAATAAATCTGAAATGTTATGTCCGCTCTCTGTAGCATTGAAGTGTTCCTTCTTTTTTATTTTTTTTTTATTTTTTTTTAAACAAACTTCTCTGTACTAAAGAAACCAGTGCCATTTCCCCACTCAATAATCTTGTTCACGCTCATTAAACTCCACACTATGTTGCATGTACATTTCAGAGATGCATGTATGAGATGTGCTACGTTTATACCATGAAGATATGAGAAAGATGGAGAGAGAGAGAGAGAGAGAGAGAGAGAGAGAGATATATACACAAAGAGAGAACGAGAAAGATAGAGAGGAAGAGAGGTTGACATATTGAGGGAGAGGGAGAGAGAAACTGTCATAAACGATTATATTTTCATTTAAATTTCAGGTAGATCATCATGACGTTGGTTTAGGGGGTGAGACATTAGTATAACACCCTGATAATAGTCAAACCCGTTTCGGTGTATATATATATATCTTGAATGTATGTCCTATGGAAATGTCACATGAAGTAACTGAATAATACCAATATATCTTCTGCAGAATAGCGCGGCGATGCTTCTAAAATCATGGGATTTTGATGTGTGAATGACGACCACTAAAAACATCGCGAATACTGCTTACAAACCTGCTAAACAATTAAACCCTGTGATATGCGTATGAACATTGGAAATAATCACTACCATTTAGCAAACGATAATTTGCGCATGCGCACAACGACTGTGTATAGCGGTATTTCGAGCCTTGCTGCATTTTAGCAACAAGTGCAAACATCGTTTCAGAAAAAAAGGACCTTTTAAAATCCTGATTTTGTTTTTCACATTTTTCCTACCATTATCGGGAAATTCTGCAAGGATTGATGCTAGGGAAATTAAGAAAACGAGTATCTGAAAAAATAGCCTTGAACTAAGTCACCTTTTCCTTTGACTCGGTTTTCCAAGAGATAAAGGTTACGAAAACAAACAGTGATGCAAAGAAACTGGAAGATCGAGAGACACTAAGAAAACTGATGAAATGAAAACATTTATCTTCGTTAGTCTATGATATCGTGCGCGTAGGTTTCGTTAATGTTTCCAGGAAAATACATTTTTTTTCCTTCTCTATTTTCCCCCAAAATGGCGCCTTTAAAGGCTGGATTGCTAGCCGACATGTTACTTGATCTTCACCAAACCGCGACCTAGAGGTCTATCCCGTCAGAGTATGAAGATGGAGAGTAATTTCCGCTTCATAGGCAAAGGTATACGTCGCTAAAGAAAGCCCCTCTTAGCAATAACAATAGATAGAGAGACGGAGGAAGACGAAGGGGAAGGCTGAGCATGAGTGGTGCGCGGGGGCGGAGGGCGGGGTGGGTGTGCATAAATAACAAGAGGATAGGCAGAGAGAGGGGAGGGGCGATGAATGGAAGAGGAAAGGAGATAACGTATTACATAGTGTTGGATTGAGATGAAGAGAGAGAGAGAGAGAGAGGGGGGAATGACAAAAGAGGGGGTCGAAAAAAAAAGAAAGACTAGCGACATAAAACCTCTATCGTTTAAAATAGTAACGTAAATATTTTAATCGAATAAACGACTAATTTACCCCCCCCCCCCCCAACCGAAAAAAGTCAATGAAGAGTAAGGAGCGGGCCTAATATAAGTATCAAGTTCTTGCGCGCGAGGGACAAAACATTATAATAAGTTGAAAATTGATTTGGGACGGGGAAAGGAATAAGAAGAAGAATCAATAAAATGAAATGTGCAAGAAAGAGAGAGAGAGAGAGAGGGGGGGGGGGGGGGGGGGGGGAGAGGAATAAAGAGGAGGTGAATATTAGTGAGGATCAGTTAGGCGAATAACAAATAACAAATAAAAAACCGAAAATTAGGGGGAAAGGGGGAATATGCAGATGGAAGAAAAAATCTAGACGTTTATATACAAATTTTAAAAAACGAGGAGAATATGAGTATAACAATATTCCGCCTCACTCGCCATTTTTTAATTTCCCTAGTCCCACACGTGCTAATAATTTGCGGTTACCCGCCATTGACTTCATACCCCCAAAGCCCGAACGTCTCATATTCTGTTGACTTAACTCTCCGTTACATGATGAAGTCGAAAGTGCCGTACAAAGGAGCTTCCAGAACGCCATCAGCACTTCATCGCTTCGTCTCAATTTTTGTCGTTGGAATTTCTCATCAGCGGTGAGGGCATAACTTGGATAAAAAGATTTTTTTTTAATTGCCGGAAGGGGAAATATTAAAAATAAAGATTGCTCAAATCAGACACCGACATTTAAGTTTAGGCTACAACATGGTGTTTTCGTGCCACTTTTAAAGGGATCGTTTAACAATGTTAAATCTGAGATACACGGCCCTACACGTGATACACGTGTCATCAGTGTCTGTGATATGGTGTAATTTTGAAGCCCTAAAAAATTCCCGCTTCAAAATGATCAAGAAGTGCCTCAAAAAAGTAAAAAATCTTTGAGTGACCGGTTTTACCATACTCGTTTTCCCCGATAGACTGTAGTGTTATGAAAACCGTCAGGCGAACGGTTTTCAAAATTTGTAATTTCAATCATGAATATCTTGATAATCAGACAGGCGATCGGCTTGTAAAAGTAATGGGGTTCCTGACTGACCTAAAGGTTTATAATTATCATTGCATCATGAGCTAAATCCAGAATTTTGTTTCAGAATCTGAGACAAAGTTACCGGATCCCTTTAAGATGGCTACAATATTTTATCAAAGCCTTCGACGACGAATGTTTGAAAGAAGCATCAATCTTCGGATAATATTTACGGGGAACCCCCCCCCCCCGACCTTCCGGCGGGTGATTTAAATATAATGCTGTCATAGGTGATTTTTTTCTTAAGAGGGTAGTTATCCACGGTACTCTGGTTAGATACAGGTTTAATAGACCTATTGTTAAGGTAACAAGCGACGATATGTTTTTACTGTTCTCATTGGGTTGTTTTGAGTAATACGACATAAATAAATGATGCGATCGTGAAAAAAGCGGGAAAAACACAAGCTCAAGCAATAATAACGCACAAAAATCACGTCTCAAATTATTGCAACGAGAGGGGAAGGGGTACTCATTGGGGGGGGGGTGGTACATGTAACGGTAGAACTCTCGCAAAAGAGGGTGTAGGGGTGGTGGTAGGGGTATTCTAATAATTTCGCTTTCATATAACTACAAGCGCTTTACAGATTATTATTACCCCGGTCATCGGATTCATGCACATTTTCCAACTCCCTGGGGAGCATTCCGGCCAGGCGCCATTTTACAAGCGCACACTTGCTCATCCAACGGACACTAACTTTCGCATCCTATCGGGTACCCATTCAAAATCTAGGTAGAGAGTGGCAAAAGAAGATATACGTCTTGCCAAAGGACATTAGTGATGCGGTGGGACTTGAACCCCGTACCTTGTGATCTGCAGTCAGGTGACTTATCCACTTAACCACAACACCTCATTCAGGACACGTAATGTCCTGAACCTACTAGGCCCCTCCTAAGAATAAAAAGAACTTACTTTATTTTGATCCATGCTTCTTCTCCGAATTTCTCTGTAACCAGAGCCTTGACACAAATATTGATGAACCCGTACTGCAGAAAGAGAAAAAGTAAGAGAAAAGAAATATTCATCGTTAAATCGTAGGCTTGACAATCTTACCTTTGCTCATTAATATTGCTCTATATTCAGATTCAGATTCAGATTAATTTATGAAATTTATTAATAAATAATTTATTAATTTATTGATTTATTTAATTTATCTTTATATTATAAATGTATTTTGACTTTGCAATATCAAGGGTATTATGAGATAAAGATATGAGATTACGAGAATAGTAGATCATTGATTGTTTCAATGTTGTTGTTGGTTTTTTTTTTTACCAGATTATTAATTTCGCTGAAATTTAGTACTGTACAAGGCATTTTTTATTATCATCCCATGCTCACTGTTTCTCATGAGGTTGAATTTAGAAAAGGTTCGTATTGTCGGGGTCATCTCGTGACGAGTGGTTGGTAAACATCAAATATATATATACATTTTGTTTTACTATCATGTTGCATTTTTTTCTTTCCTTTTTCCTTTTTATTTGAAAAGAAAAGAAATAAGTTGTAAAAAGTATTACGAGTAATTCAATTTATTTTCATCTCTGTAGTATATTCCAGAAAAGACATTTAGTAGTATATTAATGTTTGTTATGCCTAGTTATTGTAATCTTATATTTTGCACTACATTATCTATGTTACACTTTAATTTTGGAACTTATTATCCAATGTTATTAAAATTTAGAATGTTTCTATTTGTTTGGATTTTAATCAACACAATTTTGATTTTAATTTGCATTTAATATTATACCTCCCCCTCACTGTTTCTGCAGACTTGCTGAACTATTCCATGATCTTATAATACTTACCTATATTATTTGTCTTAAAACAAAGAATATTTCGAGATAACTTTGTTTTATTAAACACCCCAAGATATAACGAACAGCTAGTAAAACATAAACCCTAATATACCCGTTATATTATCAATTTCGTTAATGTTAAGATCACGTGTTCTCTTTTCAATATATTTCATCACAACTGTAACTTTCAAATTTGGGAAATTTGTAAAATAAAATCCAACCGAACCTAAAGTAACAATAATAATTCAACATTATTGTTTATAAGATGATGGCGTGGATCCTAATCAAATGATTGGTTGAGAGTGTACACGTGATCAGGCATTATTTTGCCTCACACGTAATTTTGATAATGACCGGTCATTATCAAATGCTACTGACCGGTCATTAGTAAAATCATAAAACGTCATTTTATAAACATATAATACACGATCTTATAAAACAAATTATAAACATCATTTTGTTCGGGCATTAGTAAAATTACCCACAGTCGGTACCTTCGAAACAGTCCAAACACCCTCGGCTATCGCATCGGGCGTGTTAGACTGTTCCAAAGGTACCTTGTGTGGGTAATTCTTAGTAATGCCCTCAGTGCTGTGTATTATTTGTATAATAGCGCATAAAAGGTATAATTACTTTCGTGTTTTAATATCTAAATTAACAAGATTGTTTAATTTGTTTCTAATTTAAAAGGAATTAGCATCAAGCGTTTTATCAATTTAATTCACGTGCAATATGTAATGTGTAGGGAAATGGCTTACATGATTGGTAATATGTTACATTGTAATCGCGAAATAGCCGTCAATTAAACAGTTGTCAGGGTTGTATGCAAATCAAATATGACTAAGTTTCCATTCACCTCACGCTACCAATCACTTTCAATTATATCGCTTGGAACATGACCGCCACATCAAATGAAAACCAACATCCTGATAATTGTCATTTAAAGGGATTGGGTATCTTTGTCTCAGATTCTGAAACAAAATATTATTATCCTGGATTTAGCTCATGCGGCAATCATAATTAAAAATCTTTGGGGCAGTCAGGAACCCCATGACTTTTAAAAGCCGATCACCTGTCTGATTATCAAAATATTTATGATTGGAAATCGCAATTTAAAAAATCGCTTTCCCAACGGTTATAACACTTTAGTCTATTGGGTGAAATGAGTATGGTAAAACCGGTCACTCAAAGATTTTTACTTTTTTGAGGCACTTCATGATCATTTCGAAACGCAATTTGTTAGGGCTTCAATATTAAACCATATCACTGACACTGATAACATGTAGAATCTTGCATCTCAGATTTAACATTGTTTCAATTCAATTCAATTCAATTTATTTATGTTTCCAACATAACATTACAAATCAATTATAAACATTTACAACAAATGTAGAAGTACATATTGGAAACAGAGTGGTCCACTAAAAAGCGATGCTTGTACAAGTGTGAACACCTCAAATGAAATTTAGAAATTATGACTAATTAAATTTAACGATACCTTTAATACAATATCCCATGGTTGCTCAATATAGGTAACATTAGTGTGACCTTTGTGACTTTCAGTACGCTTGGGTTTGATCTAGCTGCTCATCAATTTCCAATCGAAAACCAATTGGCGCTTGATTGCTGCAATACCCACGATGCTAACAATCAGATTACCGTTTGCATATCATATTGTTTACTAGACTGAGTACAATGGAGTGCAAGTGTGGTTGAAGTAGTTTATTATTTCACTTCACAATTAATATCTTCATGACCATCCAGGACATAAATTCATGGCAAGAATTCATTATACTTCAATTATCTCCACCCGTGCCTTATTCCCACGTGATAAACGCGAATCAATCAATTCATGAATAGAATTAGACCACGGTATCATTGATGCGATTAAATGATATTGTTGACTTTTTTGCACGTCGCTAAGAAGACCGGTCATATTAGTTATATATATATATAGAGAGAGAGAGAGAGAGAGAGAGAGAGAGAGAGAGAGAGAGAGAGAGAGAGAGAGAAAGAGAGAGAGAGAGAGAGAGAGAGGGCGAGGGGAGAGTTGAGATAAGGTGAAAATGAGAGTATGTTAAAAGTACAGTTTTAGATTTTGTTTTGGTGACGTCAAGGGGAATAAATTCTCCTTGAATGCCTTAATTTAATTAATTACAAGTAAACAAGTGTAATAATCTCCTAACTGAAATTTTATATGCATCCCTCTGGTAAAGAAATGATATATACAAATAGATTCCAGTGTAGAAATGTATGCCAAGGCTGATCATACTCTTGACTTGACGACCCTTAACGGATAATTCTTTTAAATATATAGATCAAGTTCAATAACGTTGTCAACATCGAAAAAATAATATGAAATGAAATGATATAACAAATAATGTTTTTGAGCTGTGCCTTGTCTGTTAACAATTATCCTTGTCATGAATAACTAACAACCCTTGATTCAGTCAGTGAAAGTAATTAATATGATTTGCACGACAGATTTGATTGTCATTAAGGATTTAGGACATAGAAGGCCGATTGAATGATATCCATATACAGCACATATATGATGAGACAACAGGAACATCAATGGTAATTCATTACAACTGGTGTTCAAAACACGTGTGTGTATAATTTACATATACGATTGATCAAAGACTTGATATTTTGCTTTATTAAACAAAGTAAACGCTTAAATACCTAAATATAATTAATTTACGATAAACACATTTTGGAATTTACTTTTCATAATAACGCATGAATCCTATACAGACCTCTGCAAATAGAATCTCACTTTAGACCCCTATGTAGCCTCTTGTCGATGCCCTCGCGGTGTTGGAGTCTCTAAATTCTGGCGAGCGAAGCGAGTCAGAGAAACGCCTCGATTTATCTGACTCGCTTCGCTCTCCAGAATTTAGAGACTCCAACAGCGTGAGGGCATCGACAAGAGGCTTACCTCTTTGCCGTATACGGTGCTTCATTTTCTTACACAAAACTTTAATTTCGGCTTTGTTGTTGTTGTTGCTTTTAGTTTGTGCTCGCTTCTTCGTTTGTTTTAATAAATGCATTTTTTGCCCGTAATAGCATTGACGTTGCGATTAACTGCGCACCATCCTCAGTATCATCACAGCCGTACATGTACTCGATTAAAGAGGTTTCGAACCATTCTGATTTAGCGATATTTTAACCACACTGAGTGACAGTGACACACAATTCATTATACTTCAATTATATCCACCCGCCCCTTGGACCAACGTGATAAACGCGAATTAATCAACTCATGAATAGAATTAGACCACGTACGTATCATTGATGCGATTAAATGATTTTGTGCACGTCGTTAGGAAGACCGGTTATAATAGAGAGAGAGAGAGAGAGAGAGAGAGAGAGAGAGAGAGAGAGAGAGAGAGAGAGGAGAGAGAGAGGGGGGGGGAGTTGAGATAAAGGTGCGAGGGAGAGTATATTTATGTGTACGTATGCGCGCATTTGTGTCATCAATTTTGTTAGATACCAAAGTCTTTAAAAAATGATTCCCGACGAACTATCAAAGCCCGATTTGCTAGTCTATTGAAAGTATTTCTTATATTAGTTTACTTTGTTGTTTCGGTATTTCGAGAACGACATATATGTAATTCCACACGACAGTTATGAGGTTTACGAAGAAATGAAATTGACATTCATGATTACAGTTCAATTAGAGGAATGCGTCAGGATGTCTAGGTAAAAAAAATTAAAGCACGTATACTGATAAACCTGTAGATGCAACCCTTCAATCAATTGATCAAGTATTAATCACGGTGATAAGTGGTTTCCATAGGTCCCATAATGTAGACAATTGATTCACGCCATGATCACCATAATCCTGATAATTTGAAGTGAAGTACTCGTATAAAGCGAAATTACCGTTCTCATCAAAAGCTATAATACACCGCAAGGTCCGGGCTGGTATTCATGGAAACGATTAAATGCGTGGGAGACACAAAGCACACTTTTATCGTCATTGAGGTTCTACAATTAGGCCAACAAACAAAATTATTTGGTTGTCCTCCATTGCTTTTCTGGAGTAGGGGCGGGCGGGCGGATTTAAAAAAAAAAATTAAACTTCATTTTTTCTGGTGTCTTTTTTCTGGTGTCTTTTTTTTTAAAACATTTTTTTCCATTAAAAAAAAATCATTGGGATGTCAAGCATTTAAACAAACAAAGTC